CCTGTAGCTTGGCTTGGAGACTGGGACTGGAGGTGAGTTAAAAGCCAGCCTCAGCAATTTAGCAAGGCCCTGTCTCAAAAAAAAAGTGAATAAAATGAATAAAAAGGTCTGGGGATGTGTCTTAGTAGTTAAGTACGGCTAGATTCAATCCCTATCAAAAAAAGAAGAGTTAGTGATTCCCTAGTTGACAATGGGGACACAATGAGAATGAAGATGGGGTCTAATTTGACCAGGAGAAAACCATAATTACTTGCTGTTGCTCATTTAGTAGAAAACAGTCAAATTGAATATGATGGAAAATATTCTAAGCATGCTAAAAGGAAGTAGTCAGACTGAAGATTTTTATCCTAGTCAAGTTACTTTTGTAGTACATGTGATTGATAATTTCTCTAATACAATGTTTTACGGGTTTAATACAATGTTTTAGGGTTTTTTTCCTTTTCTGTGGTTTGTTTGTGGTACTGGGGATTGAACTCAGGGTCTCACATACAGCTAGGTAAGCACCCTACCTCTGACCTATGTCCCCAGCAATTTTTTATTTTTTATTTTGAGACAGGGTTTCAAATTACCTTGCTGGCCTTGAAGTTGCCATGCTCCTATGCTCAGCCTCCCTAGTAGCTGGGATTACAGGCATGTACCATCATGCTGGGTTTATTTCAAGGTTTATGTTCCTGCCCTAGTGGAGTAAAGATTCCCCAAAAACCAGTTGTTAGAGACATTATAAAGGCACTATTTTTGCAACATAATATCAAACAGGTTTAAAACAAGTATTATAAAATAAGTGTGGTGTTGCACTCCTGTAATCCTAGCTCCCGGGGCGGCTGAGGCAAGATGATCGCAAGTTTGAGGCCAAGCCTCACCAATTTAGCAAGACCCTATCTCAAAAAGGGCTGGGAATGTAGCTCAGTGGTAAAGTGCTCCTAGGTTCAATCATCAGTATTAAATATGTTCTGCAATTTACAGGGTAGTCATATTGATGAACATAACGAATTTCAGAGAGATAAGCTGTGACTCACAGTAATACATTCATTTAACAAACCTTTATCAAGTGCATACCATGTACCAGGCATGGTAGTTACACCTCCCATGATACCTGGTAAGTATGTGAGTGATAGAAGTGAACGCGACATACTAGCTTCCTGCCTTCCAGGACTTTGGAGTCTTAGGGAAAAACCAGTCTTCAAACATTGCAGAAGCTCCATGAAGAGACACACCACTGTGATAAAGGCCCCATGCATCTCTCAGCCCTTCTCGCCACACTGTCTTTCAGTGTTCTAGACAGCTTCTCCAACTTGATGTATGCCATCAATTCACTTGGAACATTTTTCAC